CTTACATTATAATATATCATATATGAATATATATATACTATATATACCTATGAATAGTAATATATTATATATATATATATATTTATATACATGATATACGTGCCTCTGTTCTCTATCTAACCACAACAGCATCGCCGCGGAGGGCGCTGAAACCCGCGGGAGTTGGGGCGGAGGGCGCTGCAGCCGCGTGGGGGAGGGGAGGGGGGTCGCCGAGACACAAATGATGTGGCACACTGAGAGAGAGGATAACACTGCGTGAGATTTAACGCTTGATTGTGGAAACTACGAAAACCGCAGACGATGAAACTATTCGCAACGATTCTGGGGTCTATACGTGTGTGTCTTTGTGCGTCCATCATAGGATTGTGACGTAGCGGTATGTGGCATGTTATGTCGCACTCGATACCTGCGGTGAGAGTGAGTAGGGGGGGGGGGAGCGTATGGAGAGGATCCGAAGAAATCGCTTCGAAAACCATGACGCTGAATGATCTGAAATTGGCCGACGTTTATGGACGCAAATCGCCTAACGCCTTAGTTCGACGCTAAGCTTTCCTCTGGTCGATATTTTGTTTACATGGACTGCCTGCATATGAAGATCGTTTCGTTGCTTAACGGGTGCCATGTGGTAAGCCAACAGATTAGGCATAGTTAAAGATCGAGGCGCGACGTATAGGTAGAGATAAATAAGGCGAAAAGTTACGATACTATAACCTTACTCGGTGACTCAGGGATTAACACCTAACGCTACCTCACAGTAAAAGCTCTAGCAAAATGTGTTTTCTTCTAGAATACTTATTATACTTGAACGATGTATTATATCAAGAGCTTATAATACTTTATTTATGTATAGATATTTATGCCGGTATGGTTAGCTCTTATATTATATATATATATATCTATATTATATATCAATAGTATATATATATTATCTTTTTCTATTATAGCGATTATGTATTGATTACTAGATTATAGTTTTATACCGTGGCAACCGTTACGAACATCATCAGTTATTTGTCTAGGATTCTTGTTGTTTTGCGTGTTTGACAGCGTTGGTGCAGTTCTATTGTGTTGCAGCGCCGCGGCCTAGCAGTGACATGAACGCCACTCAGTATAAACGTCAGCGCACCCGCACACACGTAGTTTGTCCGGCGACGTCGGAGGTCTGTCGGCTACCACAGGGGCGCCTTCCATCAGAAGTTTCATCAAAGCTCTTAGAGGTGGGGTTATCCTACGCTTCTCCTGCTATTCGCCTTCCGTCCCAATCTGTGTTGACCGTGGTAGTGATGACTCTCTTGATCTCTCTCTCTCGCTCTCTCTATATATATATTATAGTACTATATGATAGAGTATATATATATTGATTAGAACATATAATATAGGCCCTTTGGCATGCGCATGGGGATAAATAGCAATGCATCCATAATGTACACCGCAATAAGTTCTGTTTTTGGGTTTTGGTTCGGGATATAGTTACTGTGATAATATGAAACCTGGATTCGTGAAGGGGGCTGGCCAAAAGCAAACAGGAGCAGGAAATTTTCGTATGAGGCCGTGCTAAAGATGAGATTGTTAAAATTCTGAGATAATCAATAGTGAATGTATAGTTCGTGGTCTTAAAAAATGTTGTTTCTCCGTTGTCGTCGCAGCGCTTCGGCGAGAACTAAATCGCTCGAGAGCACCTCCGCTAGCTGTGTGCTGCAGCGGCGCTCGTTCACCTTCGACTGACCTTCTCTTGTCAGTCACGCGGGACACAGTACCTCTTCGGCATGCACGAGGGACGCCGACGACGATGTCGGTCAGAGAGCCGGCCATGGGCGGGCGCGTGGCGCGGATTCGACCTCGAGCTTCGGCGTAGCACGCTGGCACAATGCCGCACGTGACGCTGAAAATTGAGGCTGTATGGACCGGGCCCCCTGTACGCCGGCCGCACCGCAAGCGAGCGCAGACCTGGCTCGAAAGCTCACTCTACCGCTAGCGACGCCGACGACGCGGCGGCGCCGGCGGCGGCGAACAATCTGCAGGCCGAGGAAGAGGTGAATAGCGCGCGCAGTGAGTTTCGCTGGTGACGCGGCTCACCGTCGACCGAATGGATTCTCAAGTGCAGCATGAATGGAGCCCGTGCGCCGGAGGCACGTTACGGCGATGTCTACCGACTCGCTCTGGCGAGCCGACCCACGATCATCGACCGCGCAGCGGCGACCGATGGCGTCGGCTGGGGACGGGGCGATGACGCCGTTCACGCTCAGCCGACGAGCATCGCGCCGCTGCGCCGCGGTCACGTCGTCGTCGGCTACGGTCGCCCCGCCGGCGTTGGTCAGGCGACGCGCGACGTCGTGCCGCGCTGTACGCGCAGTCACGGGAGAACGTCGCGGCGCTCGTGAAGCCGCGTGACGCTGCTCTATCGTCAGCGAAGCGACTGCGTGGCGCGCGACGATCGCTCGGCAGGTGACGTTCAGCTGACGGATGTCACGCGCAAAACTCGCCTTACTGCCCGTTCAAGTACCTGTGAGCATCAGCAGCAGTGACGCCGGTCACCGAAGCAGTGCAGCATTGCTTAGTCACGCTACAGTACTATGCGTGAGTGCGCTGACTGCACCACGTCATATATATAGATGTATTGGTGTGCTGTGTTCTGTTGCGCGCCGCTTCGTGCGTGCGTGTGTGTGACGTATGCGTGCGTTGCGGTGCGTGCGGTAGTGTGCGTGCGTGCTGTGCAGTCCGCCTCCACCGATGCTGTGTGTGTGTGTGTGTGTGTGCTGTGTTGTGTGTGTGTGTGTGTGTGATGTGTGTTGTGGTTGTGTGTGTGTGTGGTGTTTGTGTGTCTTGTGTGTGTCTTCTGGTGCAGAGGTCCCAGTTTGTCAAATCAAAAAGGTATCACTTGGGGATAATGGTCATCGCCCGTGTTTTCGCGGTGCGCAAACAGCAGAAAAGTTGTGCGGGCTGCGACATGTGTGTTTTGGCGCGGCGCGCCACCATTTTTTTTATTAAAGTATGCTAAATAAAATGAAAATCAAAATGAAAGCAAAACGAACAGGTGTTTGACATTTGTGGCCTATTATTGTTCGCGTTGGTAATCAAAGTACATCAACACCACGGCAAATTTAGTAATTTAACTGTAAAAATTTAATGTTACGACCGGCGGACTTTTCTGGACTCCTGCGACCGGCGACACCGGGAACCAGCATGTCGACCACCGGGCCTGGCGCCACCGGCGACTTGGCGACGTCTGCTGTCTGATGTAAATGTCTGTGTGTGCGTTGTGGAACATTAATCTTGTATATGACGATTACTACGAGAAAATCCCAAAGAGCTCCTTATATATATTAGTATATATATTTATAGATGTTATTATATATGAGATAGTCTAAGGTCGGTATACATATATATTGTCCGGGTGGCCGACTAGAGCAATAGAATATGTAAAACGTGCGCAAGACTGTAGCAGGGAATCTACGCCATGGTACGCTCTCTCATCTGACGCGCATACGCAGGCACCTCTTTCACTCGCTAATCGGCATGCCTCGCCAGTTATACATTATAATGCCGTCTACTTGAGTAGTGCCCGCCGTATGTCGCCAACCAGTTTGCACTTCGAAAGGGTCTGCGCATATCCTTGCATGGTTCGGCAAGTCCACGCTAGTATCCTTCAGCCCGATCCAGCCGCGGAGCCGCGCTGACCGCACTCCACCCCCCGCGAATCCGTCCGCCGTGACCGGCGCCCCCTCGTCTACGTATTGCGACGAGTTTTCATTGCAGTGTCCAAACGCGCGGTCCTTTATCGGATGTTGTTGCATCGTGTTGTCGGCTGCTAACCAAATTAGGCGAACACCTAGTCGGTTTTACTCATCGTCTGGTCTGTTTTACACGCGTTGCCACGGCGACGGCTGCTATCAACGGTGCGGATTGCTCTTGTGCGATAATGTTTGAGAGCGGTTAAGTGGGGGCATCGCTACCTTACTGTCCGCTGCGGTAAACATGAGGGACACAATACGGGCATCGTTGTACTCGCCGACGTGGGCGTCACGTCAAGTTGTGCATACTACGTTACGCGCAGCAGGGCAATCGCCTTACAACTCGAGCCAAATACCGCCCATCAATAGATTCGATCGCCGCAGCGCAGCCCCTCGCTCGGGCAACGTTACTCACCGCGGCGGGCCGCGGACCAAAAATGTCCGGTCTGCCGACGCTTTGATGTGTCCGTCGTGCGTGCGTGCGTGTCGGTGATGCGCGTGTGTTGCGGACGGGCGGCGACGGCTTCGCCCGCGGTTCATTGTGAGCGCGACTATCGAGTTACTTGGGAGCCCGTCAGCCGTGATTAGTATGGGCAAATTTGCTTGTTTAGAGCTCAGATAGTTCGAGCGAGAGCTCCCCACCTCTCACTCCTGCTCGACCTCGCCGTCGTGGTTGCCTTTGTCGCTGCTGGAATCGCTGTGAGCACCATGGTTCGCTCGTTGCCTCAGTGGGAATATGTAATTGGTTTACCCCTCGTTTCTGGCGCCGCAGGATGTGCGTGCGTGTCTGTGGCTGTGTGTGTGTGTGTGTGTGCTGTGTGGGTGGTGTGTGTTGTTGTGTGTGTGTGTGTGTGGTGGTGTGCGTGCGTGCCCTCAGTGCGTCGCGCGTGCGTGCGTGGTATGTCAGCGCGTGCGTGCGTGCCGCTGCGTGCTGTGCGTGTGTGTGCGGTGCGTGCGTTAGCTTGTCGCTGTATGTGTGGGTGTGGCGATGTAGTGTGCATGCGTGCGTGCGTCGCCGTGCGTGCGTGCGGCGTGCGTGCCGTGCGTGCGTTCAGCGCGTGCGTGCTGCTGCGTGCGTGTTGTGTGTGTGTGTCTGTATGTGTAACCGATATTTACATATAATAATCACCGGTTGTCTGCTTGCTGCATTAATATTTAAGCTGTACTAGCACTCAGAAATTTGCCTCTAGATGCGATTCGCGTTAGATTGCGTAGTAAGGGAGATATACTCATGGCGAGGTGGCTGGGGGCTTGGTCTGTCGACAACGCGTAGACGCGACTTTATCGCAGCGCTGTGTGGAAGCGCTAGGTGGGGATGTCCTCTTCGTTTAGCTAGGGTGCTGGTGGCCGACGCACGAGGAGGTAGGGTTATCATTCCCCCTATATATACGTACTATATATGTACTGTAGCACGCGATGTTCCTTTATATAGTTCGCGTGTATTCTGTGTCCAGCGGCCAGGAATTGTGCTAAGCATGCATTGAGCTTACTACCTTCACCGGGAACGCGTAATGTATGGGTATTGGCGTACTAGAACGTTACGGTACTGGTACGGTATATGGAATGTGTGTGTGTCGTACGTTAGCGGTGTATGGATTCGTTACGTGCCACGTTTACGGGTGTGAACGTGTGGGCATTACGTTTTTTCGGTAGTGGAATGTTACGTGGTTTTTGCTTTTGAGCATTGAGCGACGTGCGTTACGGGTGCGTTGCGCCTATGGAACGTTGCGTTACAGTGCTGTATGGAATGTTACGATACGTTATGGTACACAGTACACAACAGTGCGTTACAGCCCAGTGCATAAAAAATCTTTATCATGACTGAACTTCGTACCAATGAGAAATCTAAACGGTGAAATTATTTCAACTTGCGTATGTGCTCAACTCACCTGCCAGAGGCGGGCTCGTGCGCCTGTATATTGAGAGTACCTCGCTCCCAAGCGCTGCGCCACGCAGTGGTGGTTAGTTACGCCATCACTGTGGTTTGTTGGTCGGAGACGCAGTGGCGTCTCATTCTGGCGTGTCTGCGGGAGACCTTGTTGCACAGAAGTCTCCTCACGTAGCAGACGTTGCTAAGTGTCGGATCGTAAATTAACGATGAAATGTTATGAAGGTGTTTAATGAGGGCGAGATCAGAGCTTCATCATGGACAGCTAGGCTGTGGCATTTGTGCACTGGCCCCGCAGCTGGCGCGGTGCGCATGATTTCTATAGAGATAGGTGTTCGGCGAGGTGCGGGTTTAGGCTCAAAAAGATGGTGGCTGAATTACACTATGATGATAGCTTAGACAGCGCCATGCGGACGCGCTGCTCTGGTCGCACATGCGCGGAGGTTGAGTGCGTTATCGTTCCGCCTCATTCACGTGATGTCTATAGCTCTCATTATGTACACGGTATCACATAGCACACGCACACCACACACACACACCAGCACACACCACACGCACACACACATAACGACACAGACACACACACGATACATAGCATGCTCATACGATAACACACACCGCATACAGCACATTACAACCACACACACCAACACACATCCACACACACACACATACACACAACACACCGCACAACACACATACATATACCACACACACACCACACGCACAACACACACCAGCAAACACACACACACACACTCAACATACCACACAGTCGCTGAGAATTTAGATAGATACAGATCTTACCGGAAAGGCAGCGTAACTAATTAATTATGAAAAGCTTCGCAATGAACGTCCGGTTAAAAACTTATTGAAAACCGATGCGACGCGTGTCGAGTCGCGCCTCGACATTCTTGGTGACTATGAAAGCGACAGGAGACAACACGAATTCAAAGTGTCAAGCGCACGCAACATCCCCTCACATGCGACGCATTACACACACTCGTCCCCTGGCTCGCTGCGACACACCACCGCACGTTTATGCCCGCTAGCACACGATTCGCGCGCGCGACAGCAAACGATACACACACACGGGGACGCACCAGCCGCAACGCGCCGCGCCACCAATTACATCACACGCCGGCCAGCTGCACTGCTTCGCCCAACGTCTCATAGCAAGTTGCGAATTACGTGCTAATCAACTTGCGCCCTGTACATAAACGCGCTGTGCGCTTCTTCGCACACTGCATACGTCGAAGCTTGTGTCATCAAGCGCACCCCTCCGCCGTATGTCACTAGCGCTACCCCGCCCCTGTGTAACAACATCTCCCCTCGCCGCTACGTCAGCACCGCAACCTCCTTCATTGTTTCAGTTAAGCGCGCTCTGCTGTAACCTCGTAGAATTCCGCCGCGCTGTATCCGTACTGCAAGTTGCAACGGCGTTCTTGGCATATCAACTCGGGGTAATTGTCCCAGGCCACTTTTTCGCTAGCAAGCACTGAGAGCCACCAAACAAAGCGGTGCCAGCGTGCGCGCAGCTGACCATCGAAAACCCAGTGGGCACTATAGTACTATTATATGCCATAGCCTTATAGTGGCGCTGATTTAGATGGCGCTTGTATCTCTTGCAGAGGTTATGACGTCTCACCCCTATGCTTCGTGGGTTTAGCGTTTTAGGTCGCTTGTATTCATATGACGTGGGGTTCGGCCTATCACGCGGTTGCTCGACTGACGACGAACACTGGGGCATGTTCTCTATCGGTCCCTTGAATGAGCTCTCTCGCCCACGGCGACTTGATGGCCTGGAGTCTGGAGGACATAGTTCGGGGCGGAAAGGTCATTTCAGGAGATTTCGACCCTAGAACGTTACGCTTTTGCGAAATGGCCATCGCCTGTGGGAGTGGGTCACTGTGAATGTTAGCGTTAGAGTGTCGGTTGGTCTGTGGATTCTCCGGACCGGCGCTGCTACTCCCGAAGCCGGTATCGTAGCCGTGAGGCGGCAGAAGGCCTCAGCCATATAAATATGGAACGCGCAAAAGAGTTTGATGATATGTGATTGAGAGCCACAGTATCTCTTAATATGTCTTAGTCATCATCATTCATACGGCGGGTATAATCATTTAGGTGTCATTTATACAACTGTTGATAATAGTCAGCTCATTTATCACACGATAGTGTGACGGGGTAATGTACGCTTATACGCGCTTTTGAGTTTTTCTCCGTTAGCGATGGCAGTTGGCATACAGTTGTGTATACGCAGACGCTTCAGACATTTTTGTATATACTTTATTATACTTAGGTAGAGCCTAGACTATCGTCAGCGGTGGTGAGAAAATGAGTATGTTTACATAAGATAGGTTGTCCACAAGTACTTACATAAATGTCTTGTGTAAGCGCAACCAAGCAATTGTGGTGACACACAGACTGTTAATCTGTCTCTCATCTATTGTATGTAATGGTTTAATTTTTGTTGAAGTGTAGCGCGTGCTTAACTCTTTTGGCTAAGAAAAGTATGTCTTAAGTTACAGTTTTCCGCCAATGCAGGGTTAGAATGTCTGCGGACTGAAGTGTCCAGTGGTTCTATCGCGCTGCAATTAGCGTGATTTCTTTACAAGAATTTACTCGCTATAGCTCGCTAGAATCTGACTTTCGAGGTGAATGCTTTACGCCCCCGCTGCTCCGAGGTAACTTTTAAGCTCTCGGGAGATCGGGAGGTTTGGTTCTTTTATATCAGACATTAATATGAGCCTGAGCTTATATGATGGTGATGGATTCGCTAGTTTTACTGCATATTTTTCTCACTTATATCAGAAGCTGCTCAATATGATAGTCTCACGCCTGTGACCTAATGCCCAGTCCTAGACCGCAATCTTAACCTCACCTCACCCACCCCACCCACTGGATACTTGACTCGCGATCTTACTTCACATACTCTCCTTACTCCACTAGCGCAGACCCACCTCAATCTGGCCCCATGAATTCACGCCCTACGCGATCTCATCCCATTCACACCGCCACCCCCATCCGGCAGCCCCACTCTGCTCACGGCATCCACGCGGCGCACCACCATTTTTTATAAAGTATACATGTAAAATAAAATGAAAATTCAAAATGAAAATGCAAAAAAACAAGTGTTTGACATTTGTGGCCTTGTATTGTTCGCTGGAATCAAAGTACATCAACAACCACGGCAAATTTAGTAATTTACTGATGTAAATTTTAAAATATAGCTGAAAAATGTTATGACCGGGACATTCTGGACTCTTAACGGGACACCGGGACCAGCATGTCGCACCGGGACCGGCCACCGGGACACTTGGGACGTCTGCTGTCTGTGTATGTCTCTGCATGTGTGTGAACCATTAATCTTGTATATGACGATTACTACGAGAAAATCCCAAAAGAGTATATTATATATATATATATGATATAGTCTAAGGTCTATACGAATATATTGTCGGTGTCGTGCGACTAAGCAATAAATGTAAAACGTGGAAATGTAGACGGGTCTACCGCCAGGTACGCTCTCTCATCTGACGCGCAAGAACCTTTCACTCGCAATCGCATGCCTCGCAGCTATATACATTAATAATGCTCCACTTGCGTAGTTTGCACAGTTTCATTGAGTGTCCAACGCGCGGTCCTTCTTCGGATGTTTGATTGCATCGATGTTGTCGGCGCTAACCAAATTAGGCGAACACCTATCGGTTTACTCATCGTCTGTCTGTTTACACGCGTTGCCACGGCGACGGCTGTTCAAACGCGTGCGATGCGTGTGCGATAATGTGTGAGAGCGTTAGTGGGGCATCGCTACCTACCTGTCCGTGCGGTAAACATGGGGACACAATACGGGCATCGTTACTCGCGACGTGGGGTCACGTCAGTGTGCATACTACGTACGCAGCAGGCAATCGCTTACAACTCGAGCGAAATACCGCCCATCAATAGATTCGATCGCAGCACCCCCTCGCGGCAACGATTACTCACCGCGGCGCGCCCGACACGAACTGGTCTGCCGACGGCTTTGATGTGTCCGTGCGCGCGTGCGTGTGCGTGTGTGCGTGTGTGCGGCGGCGGCGACGGCCCGCGGTTCATTGTGAGGGACATCGATTACTGGGACCCGTCAGCGTGTAGTATGAGCAAATTGCTTGTTAGAGCTCAGGTAGTTCGAGCGAGGCTCCCCACCTCTCCTTCCCTGCCTCGCCTCCCGTCGTGGTTGCCTTTGTCGCTGCTAGGATCGCGTGAAGCACAATGGTTCGCTCGCTTGCCTCAGTGGGAATATGTAATTGGGTTCACCTCCCTCGTTAACCTATTGGCGATGCGGCATGGGATAAAATAGCAATGCCTAATGCTATACCACCGCAAATACATTTCTGTTTTTGGTTTTTGGTTGGGATATAGTTACTGTGATATATGAACCTGGATTCGTGAAAGGGGCTGGGCAAAGCAAAAACCAGGAGCAGGAAATTTCGTATGAGCCGTGCTAACAGATGAGATTTGTTAAAATTCTTAGATAATCAAATAAGTGAAATATAGTGCGTCTTTAAAAAATGTGTTTCTCCGTTGTCGTCGCAGTTCGGCGAGAATAAATCGCTGGCGAGAGTCAACCTGCCGCTAGGTGTGCAGCGAGCGCTCGTCACCTTCGACTGCTCTCTTGTCAGTCACGCGGGACAGTACCTCTTCCGGCTGTACGAGGACGCCGACACGATGTCGGCCGAGAGCGCCCCCATGCGGGCGCAGTGGCCGCGGATCGACCTCGAGCTTCCGGCGAAGCACGCTGCCAACACTGCCGACGTGACGCTGAAAATTGAGGCTTATGGCGCCCCCTGTACGCCGGCCGACCGCAAGCAGCGCAACTGGCTCGAACTCATCTACCGCAGCGACGCCGACGACGGCGGCGGCGGCGGCGGCAACCAATCGCAGGCCGAGGAGAAGGTGATAGCGCGCGAGGAGTTTCCGCCATTTTGGCGGCTCACCGTCGCCGAATGGATCCTCAAGTGCAGCATGATGGAGGTCGCCGGGACGTACGGCGTTGTCTACCGCTCGTCGGCGAGCGACGACGTCATCGCGCGCAGCCGCGACATGCGCGTTGGCTGGAGCGACGCGTACGCCGTCACCGTCAACCGGACGAGCATCGCGCCGTGCCGCGGCCACGTCGTCGTCGGCTACGGTCGGCCGGCGTGCGTCGGCGACCGCGACGTCGTGCGCCTGTACGCGCAGTCGACGGAGAACGTCGCGTCGCTCGTGAAGCCCGTGACGCTGCTCTACGTCAGCGAGCGACGCGTGCGCGACGATCGCTCGCAAGTGACGTTCAGCTGCCGGATGTTCACGCGCAACAACTTCGCCTACTGCTTCAAGTACGTGAGCATCAGCAGCAGTGACGCCGTCACCGAGCAGTGCAGCATGTGCTTGTCAACGCTACCAGTACTAGGTGAGTGCCTGACTGACCACGTCATATATATAGATGTATGCGTGTGCGTGTCTGTGCGCGCGCTCGTGCGTGCGTGTGTGTGCGTGCGTGCGTGCGTGCGTGCGTGTGTGTGCGTGCGTGTGTGTGTGTGCGTGCGTGCGTGCGTGCGTGCGTGCGGTGGTGTGATGTGTGTGTGTGTGTGTGTGTGTGTGTGGTGGGTGTGTGTCTTGTGTGTGTTCTGTCTGAGCAGAGGTCACAAGTTGGGAAAATCCCAGACAGGTCATCACTTGAGATAAATGGTCCCTCGCGTTTTTTCGCGTGCGCAAAACAGGAAAAAAGTTGTGGCGGCTGCGACATGTGTTTAGTCGCGGTCGCACCCCACCATTTTTTTATAAAGTATGAGCATGCTAAAAATAAGAAATGAAAATTCAAAAATGAAAATGGCTAAAAAAACAAGTGTTTGACATTATGTGGCCTGTATTGTTCCGCTGCGCACAACATCAAAGTACATCAACAACCAACCTCCCCCCCCGCGCAAATTTTAGGTAACTTACTGATGTAAATTGTTAAAATATAGCTGAAAAACTCCGTTTACTCGACCGCCGAGCATTCTGGACTCTTAAACGGGACACCGGGACGCAGCCTGTCGCACCGGGAGCCGGCAGCCGGACACTTGGCGACGTCCTGCTGTCTGTGTATGTCTCTGCATGTGTGTGACCATTAATCTTGTATACTGACCGATTTTTACTTCCGAGAAAATGCCCCAAAAGAGTATATTAATATATATCTATATATACTAATAATATATACTATATATATATATACAATATATATATGATATAGTCCTAAGGTTGTAGTACATATACGAATATTATTTGCGGTGTCGTGCGACTAGCAATAAATGTGAAAACGTGGATAATGTAGACGGGTCTACCGGCCCAGGTACGGCTCTCTCATCTGACGCGGCAGAACTTCACGTCGCAATCGCATGCCTCGGCAGCTATATACATTAATAATGCCGCACTTGCGTAGTTTGGCACAGTTTTCATTGAGTGTCCAACGCGCGTCCTTCTTCGATGTTTGATTGCATCGATGTTGTCGGCGCTAACCAAATTAGGCGAACACCTATCGGTTTACGTCATCGTCGTCTGTTTAGCCGCTTTTGCCCTACGCCGCGACGGCTGTTCAAACGCGTGCGATGCGTGTGCGATAATGTGTTGAGAGGCGTTAGTGGGCATCGCTACCTAGCTGTCCGTGCGGTAAACATGGGGACACCCCACATAACGGGCATCCGTTCTCGCCGACGTGGGGGTCATCGTTCAGTCGTGCTACTACGCTACAGCAGGCAATCGGGCTTACAACTCGAGGCGCGAAATCCGCCATGCAATAGATCGCACTTCGCAGGCCGACCCCCCTCCCGGCCAACGATTACTCACGCGCGGCGCGCCCGAACAAATCGGTCTGTCCGACCGGCTTTCTGATGTGTGCGCTGCCGTGCGTGCGGTGCGCTGTACGTGCGTGTGTGCGGCGGGCGTGCGACGGCCTGCGTTCCATTGTGGAGGGACTACCTCGATTACCTGGACCCCGTCATGCGTGTAGTATCGAGCAAGATTGCTTGTTCCAGACGCTCAGGTCCAGTTCGAGCGAGGCTCCCCACCCCTCTGCCCTTCCCTGGCTCGCCTCCCGTCGTCGGTTTGCCTCTTGTCGCCTTGTCGGATCGCGTCGACAGCCAGCAATGGTTTCGCCTCGCTTCGGCCTGCAGTGGCGAATATGTCATATTGGGTCTTCACCTCCCCCTCGTTGTCTCTCGGCGCAATGTGCGTCGTATGCTGTGTGTGTTGTGTGTGCTGTGTGCTGCTGTGTGTGTCGTGTGCGTGCGCGTGCGCGGCGTGCGTGCGTGCTATGTGTGGTGCGAGTGCGTTCGCTGCCGTGCGTGCGTGCGTGTGTGTGTGTGCGTCGCGTGCGCGTGCGTGCGTGCGGTATGTGTGTGTGTGTGTGCGTGCGTGCGGTGCGTGCCGTGCCGTGGCGTGCGTGCGTGCGTGGGTGTCGTGCGTGTGGTGTGGTGCGTACGTGCCGTGCGTGCGCTGCGTGCGCGTGCGTGGCGTGCGTGTTTGTGTGTGTCTGTATGTGTAACCGATATTACAATCTAATTAATCACGTTGCTGCTCATAATCATAAGCTCTACACACAGAAATATTTGCCTCTAGATGCACGCGTAGGCAGTAGCGATTTAACTCATGGCAGGTTGGCTGGCTGGTCGTGAACAACCGTAGCCGCATTATCGCAGCTGGTGACGTAGTGGCGATGTTCTGTTAGCTGGTGCTGGTGGGCCGGACGCACGAGAGGCTAGGGTTATCATTCCCCCTATATATACGTACATACTATCATGGCTACCGTGATAGAACGTGTACCGTTGTATGTTACCCGTTATGGAATGTTACCGCATGATGCGGTACGTTACGGTATGGATCGTTACGGCACGTTACGGTGTGAAACGTTGCATTACGGTACGGTATGGAATGTTACCGTGCGTTGCAGCATTGAGCGTTACCATGCGCTCCGGTGCGTTGCGCTATGGAACGTTGCATTACTACGTTAATACCCCAGTGTGTAACTGGAATGTTACCGCATACGTTATGGCTATAGCCAGTACACAACAGTGCGTTACAGCCCAGTGCATAAAAATCTTTATCATGACTGAAATTCGCTACCCAAATGCGAACTAACGTGAAAATTATTTCAACTGCGTATGTGTCAACTCACCGACGGTGGGTATATGCAAGTATGTCAAGTGCAAGATATACGTATAAGTGTTCGTGGGACAGTGGCATCTGGGACTCAGCAGACCTTTCACCGAGTCTTCCACAGTAGACGTTGTAATCGTATAAATAACATGAAATTTAAAGTTTAATGAGGCAGTCGGGATGGACAGCTAGTGTGGGCATTGTGCATGCACGAGCTGTGCGTGTGGATGATTTCTATAGAAGTGTCGCCAGTGGGGTTAGTCATCGAGAGATGGTGGCAATACAATGATGATAGCAGACACATGCGCGCGCACACGCATACGTACCCGCATACATGCACACAAACACACACATACACACACACACACACACACACACACAACACACATACATAACACACACACACCACACACACCACACACCTACACACAGTACATACACACACACAACAGACAAACACACACACCACACACACACCACACACACAAACCACACATACACACACATACACACAACACACACACCCACCGCACACATACATACATTACATACACACACAACACACGACACACACCACACAGCACACACCACACACACACATCACATCCCCACTTACATACCAACACACACTAAGTCACACACCACACACAACACACACACACAAACACAGAGGCACGTCTACACACACATCACACATGTACGACCCACACACCCACACCACACACACACCACACACACGCACCCATACATACATAACACACACACACACACACACACACACACACACACACACACACACACACACACACACACACACACACACACACACACACACACACACACACACACACACACACACACACACATACACACACATCCGCTGAATTTAGATAGTTACAGATCTTACCGGAAAGCAGCGTAACATAATTAATTTATTGAAAGCTCGCAATGAACGCGTTTAAAAACTTATTGAAAACCGGCCCGTAGTCGCGCATCGACATTCTATCGTGACTATAAATGACAGAACAACACGAATTCAAAGGTCAAGCGCACGCACACACCCTCACATGCGCACGCATGTACACACACTCTCCCTCTCGCGCGCACACACATACGCAGGTATGCACGTACACACGGGCGCGCCACACACACACGATCACACACACACGCGCACGCACGCGCGCACACACACATACATACACACGCGCGTGCACTGTTCGCAACGAATAGCAATACGAATTACTGCTAATCAACTTGCGCCTTACATAAACGCGTTGCGCTCTCGCACACTGATACTCGACTTGTGTCATCAACGCCACCCCTCCCCCTATGTCAACACCGCTACCCCTCCCCCTGTGTAATCAACATCTCCCCTCGCCCTACGTCAGCACCGCCAGCCCTCCTCCTTATGTCATTAACGCGCTCTGCTAAACTGTAGACATTCCGCCCGCGCTCTATATACTGCAACCGGCGTTTTGAATCAACTCGGTAATTGCCCAAGCCACTTCAGCAAGCACGAGGCCCACCAAAACCCAATGGGGCACTGGCGTAGACAAACACGAAAACAGTGGCTATAGCCTATATATATAGCTATAGCTATAGTTGCAGTATATAGATGGGATTGTACTACTTGCGAGGTTATGCTACCCCATGCTCGTGGTTAGCGTTAGGGGGGAACAAGTGGGTTCGCTACACAGCGGTGCGACACGACCGACACTGGATGCGTCACTGAATGAGCTCGCCCCCACGGGACTTGATGGCCCTGAGTCGGAGGGAAAGTTCATTAGGAGATTTCGACCTAGAACGTTACCTTGCGAAATGACCATCGCCTGTGGGAGTGGTCACTGGGATGTTACAGTAGAGTTCGTTGGTCGTGGATTCGCCGGAGCGACTGTACTCCCAGCCGTAATCTACAGTGGCGTAGAAGGCTCACCACAAATACAAATCCCACAACACAAATGCAAATCCCGCAACACAAATGCAAACGTCACAACACAAATGCAAATCCCGCAACATAAATGCAAACGTCACAACACAAATGCAAACGTCACAACACAAATACAAAATCCCACAGCACAAATGCAAACGCCACAACACAAATGCAAAATCTCCCACAACACAAATGCAAACGGCAGCAAAAAAGTTGATGATTGTGATTTGAACCATATCTTTAATATGTATATCATCATCATAATACCAGAAGTGTATAATCATAGTGTTTATATTATACACTTCTGATAATAGTACATCATGTATCACAATCTGTGACGGTAGATG